TTTCAACGAAATTCTGTTGACGAATTTTAATTGGGTATTGTTGAGTAAAAATTAGTTTGTGTCGTGATTCAAATAAGATTTCTGATATACTATTGTAGTATATCACAATTTCATGTTTTCAGATATCTCGGTAGCTATTTTCCCCGTTCACGTGCAACATTATTCAGTAGGTATTGTCAGGGCGATCAAGAAAATGCTACGATCGCTTTTCGGACGCTTGTTATTCTTTGCCTCATACCCCACCCCCCCTTCACCCCCTCCCTCATTGTTTGGCTTGTGCATCTTGAACGCAATAACACTTGAGTTGAAAAACCCCAAGACGGAGCGTTCAAACAGGCAATATTATCATGAAAAAAGAGATGAATGAATTGACTGGATATAGGAATCATTTACGCTATAAGAAAAAAGAGTGATCAAAAGTATCAAAATATGCTTTGCCAAAGAATCATCATCTTGTTTCAATGGTCTTCTAGTTAATTTTTCTGCAAATTTTTGACCGATACAGATCTGCTGACGTTTTACTGATATTGATAGATTCAATTTGTTCGCTAGATTTCTTCAGTCCATCCCTCTAGGCATTCGTTTTTCAGAAAAGAAGTGGAAAATTACTAATTATCATAAATGCACAACGTATACTTTCAGTTCCTTTTGCTAATCTAACGCATTTCCTCAAACTTTCATACTAATCAATTTCACTTTCATGATAAGATTTATTTCTCGCATGAGGTTGATTTGCTGAACGATGTCGCTTTCAACTGCACTCTGCAAATTAAACATTCGAAGTGTGTTTTTACATTCTTCCAGTGCGTTCTTGCAACTGTGCCCGTGCTGTCAGATCTCAAATCAAATTCTCATCGAACTTCACTTCGAAAATTCAGCAGCATTTTATAAGCTCGACGGAAGTGATGTGTGCTTAACGCCACAGTTAGTTGAGGGGTTCAATTTCGTTTGAACTCGAACTAACTGAAATGAATAAAAAATATGTTTCTGCACTCAAGCGGTGTGTGTATTCAGCTCCGCAACGTCATATCGTCATAAAAGTGTGATAATTTTTCAAGTATGACATGAATAATCCATTCTAAAAACGTTACAATCAATTACAGTATGATAACAGTACTAACAATATTATGTGCGTTCCTAATGAATCTGCCATATTGTTGCCACTGTAATCTTGATCATCATTGGTTATCGCCATTCGATAACACCACCGAAATATCCGCACTGTGCACGAACGAAAATCATGATATTGTTATGCTGAAACGAGGTGTACCTATGGTGTGTTTTGCCGTTTCAGTTGATATTCCTTCGAATATTTTCTTTTGTTTCTCAGTATTTGTTACGTTCACAGTTGATTCCCCTTTATAATTTCTCGAATAAACACTTTCGGAATCGGCAGTTTTGATGAAAAGTGATGCCCATAATCAGATCTACTGAACGATTTCGTTTCCTTGAGATCTTTTTCATTCAATCATGGTCATTTTCATAAATAAGCAAATAAATGTGAACAAAGGAAATGATCCCGATTTGGTCTCGTACCTGAGATAATATCAAAAAAATGCTGATGCTAGAGCAGTAACTTCATCAAAAACCAAAACACTACAAAGTATTTACTGAAGTAGCAGTAAATGTGCCAATTACTATCAAACCAGTAAGATTGATGAAACCAGTAAGAATTTGAATACGGCTAACAAGAAAAATTTCAGATGTATAATTTATTTCGTCACGATGTGATGTGTTGGCTTGAAATCCAACGTTATGTACCGCCACGCTATAATCAGTTGATATGGTTTTTGCAGTCGTTAGGTTATTGCGATGTTAACCGAGAGATTAATTGGCGGAGACGAGGCGTTGAGTATAATCGTGATTTTCAACTGAAGATCACCAGAGCTGCTTTCGCTTTGGTTTGTTTCTTATGCTATCATCGCGTTCTTGGCTTCCGACGACGTGACATCTAAAAGCGTATCATCCAAAAAATTCATAAAAACAAGCCAAGTTTACGAATTTGAGTCGACAACAGCAAATTCTTCATTGCGATCACAAAAACAATGATCACAAAACGTGAACTTTAGCTGTTTGCATCTCTCAGGGAAACAGCTAGTCACTTCACTATGGCTACACGTAATATGATCACTCAGTTATGGTCATTTTCGATTATGCTCATTGGAGCTTGATACATTGCGAATGGCCAATTCATGAGCAAAGCGTAGAACTCATTACTGCTGTTTATGAAGGAATGTTTTGAAGGAAAAATTACCGAGTGATTATAATTGCAACTCTTAGTATTCATCGTTCAGAGCCAAGCAATAGTTTTGTTTTTAGAAAGTTTTCGATTGTTCACTTACCTTACACTTACAAGATGGGCATTCAGTTGAAGTGCTACTTTAATTTCACATAAACTGTCGGACAAAACAGATAACAACAAAACAAAAACCACTTTGAGTTAGAAGTATTATAGAATGGCTCTCGAATTGAGAATTGTTTATGGCCAAGTCAAATAGCAGCACGTATTGATGGGCTTAGAAAGCAACGTCTGCTTTTGATAAGGAATTCCAATTGGAGAAATGATATTGCGTATTGCAGATATGTCGGCAAACAGATGATATTGGACGTTACGATTTAAGTAGATACGCATCGCTGTTTCGTATTATGTTTGAAAAAACCAACGATGATAGACTGTTAGTTTACGATCATTGCTAGATGAGGTTTATTCTCTCGTAAAAGTAAGAGTGGATCGCATTAGATCTAGTGCAGATTGCCTATAGTAAACCTGCAACGATCTTGATCAGCTCAATAGAAGTCCTAACGACAATATACGAGAAGTCTGTCTGCGAGACGAACAAAACCGATAGAGCATGAAACTTCACGTGGTTGCCTTCTGAATGCAGACTTCTGACTCTGTACGAACATAGTCGTGCGCTAACTGTGCAAACGATTCATTACTTCATTTATCATAAGCAAACATCAAGAAATGCAGAGTACTCTTAATTTTTTGAAATCAGTGGAAATTTTTTTGAAATCATCGCCGATGATAGAAATCAACTGTCTTAGCATGACAATTCGTTCGTTTTCACATTCCTTTTCGTCAACACTTTTTTTCCGAAATTTATCTGCCATCCATCGGGATTTCGTCGGAACATAGAGCCACGTACACTCTGTCTTTAATTTGAACCGAATATCCGTATCTCACTGCTGTCTACATGTGCACTTAAGACCACTCAAATTTCACACAGTGTTAATCATTCTTCTAAAATGTTCTTGCTGATTTATGTGACCAATTTTTGTTGTGAGTGATTTATGTGACCAATTTCTGTTCTGGCCGAAAATTGTTCGAAGTATGCCAAAATTCTGCGTATTCGCTTAAAAAAGCGCCGACTTCTCAAAATACTCTATTATCGTTTTCATATCAGGCAGTAAGCAAAGCACATGACCGATTATTCCTTGCTACAAGTAACGATTTCACTCCTTTCAGGCATATCTGTGAAAAAGTTATATCACTTTATCAAGATCTCTATACTCGATGTTTGGTAGCTTCACCAACTGGAAGAGTAAGACTTCTCGAAAAAGTGAGTCAACATGCAGCTCAGTCTTTTTATCATTGAGTTTCTTCAAAAATCATTTGAATGTCGATATTCTCGCATCTGGATTGTAATTTCTTGGGAATCAATGCTCAAATGAAGAAGTTTGAAGTAATATCGGATCGAAAGAGAGCATTCTCTCCGAGAAATATTTTTGTTGTTGCCTTGTTCCAGTTCCACTGCTTATCATTTATTCAGTCATCTGTTGCTGAGAATTTCGGATTGACCATTTGCCACCTCTCATAATTTTAATCAGAGTATCTGATTACATCTGGTCAAACCTCATCAAAAATTCTCATTCTTTCAGATATGTTCAGGTCGTTCCACAGTTCGTCTCATTAAAATGCGTGCATTCTTTAAAAGATTCTCAAGGAATTGCTTCACTTTCAATGATTTCTTCAACAGCAACCCAATTGCAAGCCAATCTTTGGGCTATGCTCTATCAAATGATACGGTTTTTATGAATATGCTAAGGTTTTGAATTTAACTTTTCTATAAGTCTCCAATGCTTAATATATCTTTTTCATACGGTTTCAATACTGGAACAACCGACTACA